TACAAAATTGTAACATTTAAAACACCATCTACTACTTTAGGGATAATCTTAATTTGGCACAATGAGTTAACATTACTTTCACAAAAAATATTTTAAAAATACTTAAAATTAATACATAGGTATGTATGAATAGTTCACTTTAAAAAATATATGTTGACATGTAGTGTTATGAAAATGTTGGTTCCAGTTTTCAAAACAAATTCTGACTCGTAGGCCTGTAAACTTTTGAATGCCTTTATTTGCCCTCTAGCACATTAACCATGGGTTAACACTAAATAAGCCATAATATCCACATTACTCATAGAAGAGATACCAGTTACTGTGTGATCCACTTGTCATTCACTGATTAACTTTTACTTTTTATACCTATAACAAATATATCCTTAAAAATGTAAACAGATCTTTATATTTTATACTAACCTGGCTACATCTGGATATTCCATTAACAATTTTCTTAAATATTTAATATCCATTTTAAAAAGATCATAGTTATTCTCAAAAAGTCGATTTCAAAAGCAAGAAAAAAGTATTTCTGACATCAATCAACAACCATATTGACTTTAATTTGACAGTGACATTTCGTTTTAGACACACATTTCAGATCACAATGTGAAATTTGAGACCGTTGTCTGGGACCAATTAAAAAATTACTTCTATGACATTTATTCGTTTCTTAACCGTTCATTGGCCGTTCACCGACTAAGGCCGATAAAGATAATTATTTCATAAATTTTGAACACGACTATATTTCGAAACTCGCTCTTAGTAGCAAATCTAGTTACTTTTCCCTGTGTAAATGCGTCTTTTCAATTCGCTCCTCCTAGTTTAAAAACAGAGTATAGTAAAAGGTAATACGTACTTTAATTTCATTTAGTGGAAATTTTAGTATTATTTATTATTAAGTTTATTTAAAATTTATTATAACTTTGATTTCATTTATTTTCTTACATTTTATTGCAGTCATATTTAATCAATTTTTAATACTAAAAATTCATTTTCCGTGTACAAGGAGTTTCATAATTTCTGGACCGATTAGCCTCCTATGCTATCGAATCGCAATTATTTCCCTATAGTTTTTTTTTTTTTTTTTTCAATTGTAATAGTTTATTTTAGTTACTTTCCTGTAATCTCATTTAATTGTAATTATTCATTTTATTTAATTTTCCGTTTACAGCCGTGCCAAAACCGTGCACTACCGATGTATTTTATTCTGTAAATATATATTTTATTATCTATTCCTGCGTTTCTCTATTGCTGGTTCTTAACCGTTCTCTTTTACAGTACCGTAGGGTACGAGGTGTAAAGGAGATAAGTATTTTATTTTTATTTATTCTAGTTTAGTGGCTACCTAGTTAGCAGTGACCACCTGAAAATATTTTTAACTCCACTGAGTTTACCTTGAGTACACTCTAGTGTACTACAAGGTAGCAGAGCAAACTGTGTTACCAAAACTGGCGCCTGAGCAACCCCTATATATAATTTAAATATATTTACTAAACCCAGGACATGTTTTATTATGTAGTTTAAAGGACATATCAGGTACCAAATGTTTATTATTGAACTTATTTAAAAATCTTACTGTCCTTATTCTTATATTATGAAGTGGATTGTGTAGTATTTTGTATACAAGTAAATGGTAATAGAACCGTCACAAATCAGATTACAGTTTGATTCTAAATAAAGTTTTGCAAAATTTCTACAGGGTGTCTGTAAAAGGTCTTTACAAAAACATACCACATATTCCTTAGACCAAAATAAGTCGATTTAAGTAAAATTACCTTAGTACAAAGTTGCTTCGTTTGGGCTCCAGAGGGCCTTGAAGTTAAAAATTTTAAATCGTTTTTCCCATATAAATTTAAAACGGCATATGCGATTTTGCTGAAATTTGGTATATTGGTAGTTTTATGTGGCAAAAAAATGGGGTTAAAATCTTGTCCGATAATAATACATAGGCGTAGAACTTGATTTTTTTAAATAATTGCACCTTTAAAAATTCTACGCCAATGGAAGAAAAGGAGTTTAAATATGAAATTTAGATTGCGCAACTCATTTACTTTAAAAAAGGTACTGTTGATAAGACTCGATTACTCTCATGGTTTTCGCTAAATTTCTGTTTTAATAATTTAGAGTGTATAGGTTTCACAAAAATATTTATTTACAACATAATCAAAATAGAGATTTTACAAAAATTATTCAAAATGTTCACCATTTTCACGCATACAAAGATTTATACGTCGAAGAAAATTAAAATGTATCCTTTCCATAACTTCTTCATCACCTCTAAGATTGTTTATTGCATCTTGAATACGTTGCCAGAGTTTTTCCTCATTTTCTACAGGTTCCCTGTAAACTGTGGATTTCAGATATCCCCATAAAAAGTAATCCATCAGTGTTAGGTCTAGGGAACGTGGTGGCCAGTTTACAGGTGCATCATTACCTCTGCCTATCCATTTGTGTGGATATTGTTCATTCAAGTGGTTTCTAATGTTTAAAGAAAAATGTGGTGAAGCTCCATCTTGCATAAACCACATATCTCTCCGAAGTTGGAGAGGTAAATCTTTTAACAATTTTGGCAACGTATTTTGTAGAAAATCCAAATAATTTTCCCTAGTTAATCTTCATGGAAGTATGACAGGATCAACAATGAAATTACCAATTATTCCAGCCCACACATTAATTTTGAATTCGTGCTGAAAATGGTTTACCTTTATTGCATGCGGATTTTCAATGGCATTAACATGTTCGTTATGAGTATTAGTTATACCTCTTCTTGTAAAACCCGCTTCATCGGTAAAGAGAACCTTCTTGACAAAGTTTGGATCTCTTTCTCTTTGCATATTAACAAATCGACAAAAACCCAAACGAATTTGAGGATCATGGACTAATAATTCTTGTACTGGCTTCTTATGGTATGGATATAGCAATTGTTCTCTAAGCACTTTATGAACGACATCTTTACTTACTCCTAGTTCCCTTCCAATTTATCTGGTGCTTAATTCTGGATCTTCTTCAACTTCAGAAATCCTTACAAAACGTTCTCTTCCATTATCAACAGTGTTGGGGCCAAAGGAACCGGTCTCCCGAAGACGTCTCTCAACAGCAGCAAAAGTTGGGTGGCTAGGTACACGACGATTTGGAAACCTTTCAGAGTACACCCTGACACTCTCTCGAGCATTTCCTTCACAAAATCCTAATGTCAGTAACATATCGGTATATTCTGCATTGGTATATTGTACAGCCATATTAATAAACCACGCATTTGTTTTTTTAATTATTGAGTCAGATAGAACACTTTCAATCGTTAACAAGAGATTAGGTGTTAAAACTTGACAATATTTTTATTTAGATGAAACTATGGCAAAATAATTAATATTCCTCAAAAAATCGTACATGGCAAGAATCGAGTATTTTTGTTAAAAGTCTCGATTAGAGGTGTTGAAGAAGATATGAAAAAAGTACATTTTTATGTTTTTCATCGTATAAAATTTTGTCCGATAATAATACATAGGCGTAGAAATTTTTTAAATAATTGCACCTTTAAAAATTCTACGCCAATGGCAAAAAAGGGGTTTGAGTATGAAATTTGGATTGGGTACTCATTTACTACAAAAAAGTACCCTAGATAACACTCGATTTACTCTCATGGTTTTGACAAAGTTTTTATTTTAATAATTATTGTTTATGTTCTAAAATTACTAAAATGCAAATTTCGTTAAAACCATGAGAGTAATCGAGTCTTATCAAGAGTACCTTTTTTAAAGTAAATGAGTTGCGCAATCTAAATTTCATACTCAAACTCCTTTTCTTCCATTGGCGTAGAATTTTTAAAGGTGCAATTATTTAAAAAATCAAGTTCTACGCCTATGTATTATTATCGGACAAAATTTTAATACCATTATTTTTGCCACATAAAACTCTACCAATACACCAAATTTCAGCAAAATCGCCAATGCCGTTTTAAATTTATATCGGAAAAACGATTTAAAAATTGTAACTTCAAGGCCCTCTGGAGCCCAAACGAAGTGACTTTGTACTAAGGTAATTTTACTTAAATCGACTTATTTTGGTCTAAGGAATATGTGGTATGTTTTTGTAAAGACCGTTTACAGACACCCTGTATATTGTGAATTTGTAGATATCCATTTATCTAAAGAAATAAAATTTTATGACTTGCACTTGGAAAATAATGAATACTTTAGTTTTGATTTAGACATTAACACCATATAGATTGCAATTTGCTGGGGGCTTCTTCGCAGATTTCATTTTTAATTTAAACACTATCACATACTAGAAGAAATAAACAAATTTAAAGCTAAAAAGTAAGAAAAAAACTCGAATTATAATTGATACAAATTAAAATGTAAATAATGAACACGAACGCCAATGTTGCCAAATGATGAACTGATTTTTAAACAAAATTAATAAATGAACTGAAATTTAAAAGAAATCAATATAATAAATCGGTTTTATAAAAAAATCCTTAAATAAATATAGAGTATGATTACATATTACTAGACACAAATTTTGATTCTTAAATAAAAGGCCTTATCCATTTCTTCAAGAGCTAAAATCCAACGACGTAACGAAATTTTGCTACTTCTGGCAACACTGAACGATATCCTCCAGAGGGGATTTGCTTGAATCGCGAATTATCCAATGAAAATTTGATTCGAAGATGGTAGTTTTCTATTTATATTATTAATCACAAATAGGAAACAGTCTGATATTGAAATTGAAACCAAAAGAAGCTATATTGTTACATATTTAATCAAATCTATATCTATTAGACTATAAAACTTAAATTACATAAAAAATTAGTTATTGCAGAAAAAATATCCTCTTCGAAAATCCAACATTTTATTTTTTAATATAACATACTAATATTCACAATCTGAGACGTCTCTGTTTAAATATAATCAAATATTTATATTAACCTTACAATGACCCTTATTAAAGTAAAGAAAACAATATATTACAAACAATCTATTAACATCAATATACGAGTAATTAGTGATTTAATAATGTACAGTAAACTAATTTGTGTTGCAATTTATTTGTTTTTATTGGGCACCAGTGATGTTAATGGTGATTTTCTTTTTAAATTTGGTTGGTACAAAACTTATCCAAATGGTTCCAGAACTGAAGTCAGTGAAATTTCTAGTCTCGATAAGGCTATTATTGGAGATACAAAATATTTGAAATTAAAGGCTAAAATACCCGTTCTATTTCCTGGATCAGTGAAAAATATAGAGCACCTGGAAATACTGAAATTGGTATCATGTAACGTTCATACTATACTTCCACAAGCTTTTAGAGACATACCCAATATATCGATGATTGCATTAAATGATAACAAAATTAAAGGCATAAAAACAGGAATTTTCAATAATTTAAATGTATCAACAATACTATTACACAGAAACAAAATCCAGTTCATTGAAAGTGAAGCTTTTGATAATATGACTAGATTGATTAAGCTACAACTTAACAGCAATTTTATATCATATTGGGATAATAATTGGTTCAAAAACACTCCACAATTATCAGAGCTATATTTCAGAAGAAATGCTATAAGAACCATACCCAGTAGAGCTTTCAAAAATGTCCCTGCAAGGAATAGAAAACTTAAAATATATTTAAGCAAGAACTACATATCGTCTTTGGAACAAGATGCTTTTTACGGTTTGAAAGAGTGCGGCCAAATCTGGTTGGATCGTAATGAAATTGTAGATTTAAATGAACGTCTTCTTGCAGATATGGAGTACTTAGAAGTGTTGATATTAGCAAAAAATTTCTTATCAAGTGTACCTAATAAATTATGTAACCATTTGAAATCCGACTTAATATCATTGGATTTAACGAATAATAACAATTTGACTTGTTTGGATTATGAATTAGTACAAAAGGTCAAACTAACAAATGTGCAAAAAATTCGTGGTTTAGATTGCGGATGTATTAAAAATTTGAAGAATAAATTTGTTAATAATTCACAGAATAATGAAATAAATAGTGACTGTTAACTATATTGCAAATTTAATTTAATATTTCAATTTACTCTAGAATTAGCACATAAAATTCAATGCCACCAGGTAAGTACCTACCTCTTATACAGGGTGTTTCAGACTTAAACGGACACAGCTAAATGGGAGGTAGAGCACACTTAGCTGAGTTCAAAACACCCCCATACTTAGTCTTTAATCTAATTTTTTTTAACTACATCATTTTCCGGGCTCACTTTATTTAATAAAGTAATAAATAGAACAAACTAACAGAAACAAATAATTAATTAAAACTAAAGTAGATTCTCAAAATGAATCCCGTGAACGTCAATACACCTCTGCTAACGTTTTAACAGGTTTTTCACTGATTTGTCAATTATTTTCGGTTTATTTCTAATGTTGTTACAGGCATTGCAACCTAATTTGTCTGAAGAGGGGATGCGCGTTAATCTCGAATATCAATTGTCAACGCCTACTGTAACTGTTAAAGAGAGATGCAAACAATAGCCGTGTTGTCGGGGGTGATCAGTAGATGATAATATTTTCTTGAATTTGTGTTTGTGTAGCGTGCAGATTTTGAGTTATATTTTATTTTTATTTGTTTGTAGTGTTTTCTTTTGAGTAGTGAGTAGTGTTAAAATGCGGAAACATTTAGGTAGTTAAGCAAAGGAAATATTATTTCATCTATTCGAATATTTTATGAAAAAAATTTTCCTCGGTAACAAATAGTTTTGAAAAAAAAAACAACGATGATAGTGAAACTTATAGACAATGTGTTGTGAACGATGATCCCAAAACTCTCACTGAAATTAAAGAACAAGTTGCTGAAGCTACAGGATACTCGGTAAAAATAATTGAATGAATAATTATAGAAGGTGAGATATCAAAAGGTGAAAAGTCTACGTCGACCATACCTAAACAATTGTTTAAGTCCAAAAAAGCGCAAAAGAACATCAAGTGTAACATATATTCCATCCTACAATATTAGAACAATCAGAGATATAGTTCATAGATTTCACGAAACAGAAGGTATGCGCGTAACAGTCAAAACTCTTAGTGAAAAATTAAAAAAGAAAATTGAGTGGAAAGGGAGCTACACATTATTAAGAACTATTTAAAAAAAATTGGGTTTAAGTGGCGAAAAACGCGAAACAACAGACAGGTTCTAATAGAACGGCTTGATATCAGGGAAAAAAGAACAGATTATTTAAAAAAAATAAGATATTTTCGTTCTCAAAACCGTCCCATTGTATATATTGATGAAACTTATATACTGATATGGTTTCCTGATTTGACTGCATACGGGCATCAGGAAATATATCACCCTGAGTAGGTGAAGCTACATTAATTGCGTTGTTACACAAAAAAAAAGAAAGAAAGATAGTTGTTATGGGAATTGTGATTTTTGTTGATGAGAAAAAAAAACATTCATGGAGAAATAATCCAACGAAGGGAAGGTCCTCTTTTTTGGAAGTCTCAGATTAAATCATTGAAAGTTTCTTGTACAAAGAAACTTTTCTGAATATCAATATAAATCACAATAACCAAATTCAGTTTTATGGAATCTCTTGCAATAAAAGAAAATTAATTGGACGCTGAGTATTTTTTAAAATTTCATGGTGGTGAAAAGGCAGACGACACTGTACCTGGACATTGAGAGATAAAAGATAAGTACCGATTTGCATATTACTAGAGGTTATTATATTGTTAGATTTTTTAATAAAGTCGATTACCGATCAATGTCAGGCAGTGACTGCTGCGGCGATGTCGATCCTTCTGGATCGCGTACCGCTTATTTTGCGCACATGCGTGAGCGATCGAATAAATATAAGAGCGCCAAATTCAAATATTTTAAATATAATCTAACACGGCCAAACTGACATCATTCCGCTCTCGGAATGTACAAGTTTTAAAACAAGAATTTTCGAACAGACAAATAGTAAAACATTTATTTTCTACTATAAAAAGTAATAAAAAATACATGGATAATAATTAGTAAGAAAACCACAAACAGAATTATGATGTTCATGTAAAGTAATTAAATACCTAATTTGTAAATGTGATTATAGATTTTTTATATAACTAAATCTCAGATGAACTTTCTCGTATTTAAGAGCCCTTGGATTGAGATTCGTGCACTCGACTATTTCTCGGTTAGTTGCTGAAATGAACAAAAGAAAAACAATACTCAGACCATTAGTGCGTCAACGGTTTATTTTTTATTTATAACAATTCACTGGATGGCGCGATGGGAATACTGCAGTATGCACGTATTCACGATGGGCCATTTAATGTTACAGTTTTTCAAATGACACGATGGAAATATTGTAACAAGTACATATTTACGATGGGTCATTTAAAGTTACAGTTTTTTAAATGACACGATGAAAATATTGCAACAAACACATATTTACGATGGGTCATTTAAAGTTACAGTTTTTTTAAATGACACGATGGAAATATTGCAACAAGCACATATTTACGATGGGTCATTTTATATTTTCAATTTTACAATTTACTCTATAACACGGTGGAAATACTAAGACTTATATGCAATGGGTTATTTGCAAGTGAATCAATAAACTTCAGAATCTAACACGGCCTAGATTAATCAAAATTAAATTAACCTACAGTTATTTAATTCTATCAATTGAACACTTAAGGGTCGTTTGTACGCCCAATTTCAGAATTGAGTATTGGTAGTTAGCCAATAGTCAATTGATGACTAGGGTCCCACAAATTAATATTCAAATTTCTCTGACCTTTCACTACGGCTGAACAAGACAGCATCACCAACTCTGAATGACTGATTATTTTTTGCTTCTTATTGAGGAAAGTATCTTGTCTTTTAGCGTTTTGCTATATTTTGTTAAGAATGGAAATGGAGTCAATTGGATTTTTATTGGTTTCATATACCGATAAAGCTGTTAAAACTGTACAAAGGAGTCTGTTCCTCTTGGCCAAATACTAACTTAAACAGCCCGTTTGTTATTTTGTTTTGTAGTGATAATTACTAGTTAGATTTTCCAAAGCTTGCTCGGCCAATCTGATTAATTTTGTATTCTGCTCTTAGCATGTTTGTTACGTTTCGCATGTATCGATCAATTTTGCATTGGAGCGATATACAGCAGAGGTTGTCACGTGCACTTCGATACCAAAGTGTGGTAAATTATTTGAAACATTTTGCCGTGAAATTAGTGTTAGCATCAACAATTAGTTTTGCTGAGGATCCAAATATACTGATGAAATTGGTAAAGCTTTGCTTAGTTTCTTCAGTAGTAACAATAGACTAAGGGTGAAGCAGGCACATTTTTGAACAATCGTCTACCAGAACAAAGATACTTCGGATTTCCAGGTAAAGGACCGAGACAATAACCACGGATAGTAAATAGTTATTTTCAGTTAATGTGATACTTAACTCGCAAGTGGTTAACAACTGAATAATTTTTAAGTAAATCAAATAGCTCTGTTCTACCATGATAATCCAAATCAGTCCTCGGAATCAAGGCTATGGCGAGTAATTAATATTTAACGGTACATTTTTATTTTAAATTAATGTTGCCTCATTTTCATAAATATTTTCGCCAATAACATCGTAGTTACAATTTCTTATGTGTTACTAATGGTACTATAAGGAGAGCAAACTTAAATTTTATATCGGTAAACTGAACTAATGCATTTGTGACAATAAAAATTGTAAATACTATCTTCGAACCACCGTATCTGTGTGAGATGTAAGAATATCATAAATAAACTACTTTATTTTATAAAACATGTAATCAACCCAACCAAAATAATAAAATGAACTTATAACAAGAAGGTTTATTTCAGACTAATCCTTTTTAACACAAAAATCTGCCCAGAAACTTGTCGCTTCGAGCAGGGAATGATTAATACTTATATAAATCTTTTTAGTGATAAATATTAGTCACACTAGTTGTCTTTTATTTTATTGATGAAAAATATTCTTTCTTTACGTTAATAAAATGAGTATAGTACAAACAATAGAATTACATTAAACACCAAAAACCGAATTATTACATTTAACAGAACTTTTTGTTTTGGTTCATATATCAATCAACAATCAATACTCTATACTGAAATTAATGAATGCCTTCGGTTTTTCTATCGTAAGCACATATTCGTAACATCAACAATTATAATGGGCTCTGTCGAAATATCGCATAAAGATTTAATTCTGTTGGGTATATCATATTACAGAGCACCGCCATCATATTTCTTACAGATATGTGGTATTTTATTAAGTTTCAATTTATCAATCAGCGTCTCATTAATTAAACAATCAAACAATTTGTGCAAAAACCAGAAATTACGATAGGAAACGTCTTTAAATAATTATTATTGTAATTTGAGATATTATGACACTTAAGAATTGTTCCCCTTTGAATTTTTTGGAGCCTCTTCAATTGTTGTTCTGACGGCGAAAGCAATGGTTTATTTCGTGGCCGGGTTTTTTACTGTATCGACAAAAAAAATTTATCTGGTTTATTACCTAGAGCCGGTGAAGTGCGATGTTTACATTCTCGGGATATATGACCTATTTTGCCGCAAGAAAAACAATTGACTTGTTTAGAAATTTTTTGTCTCAACTCTCAAGTAATCTTTTTGTTCGTTTGAATTTGGTAATTTTTTATCAAATGATGGCACTTTTACATAGTTAGCAAGGAATGCAAATAAATCACTTACGGATGACGCACCACAATTATATACCGCAGTTCTTACAACAGGATCGTTTATCGGATGTGCGATAATTTCTATTAAATCCGAATCTACCCAATTAGCTCGGGTGCGCTTCAGTTTTTTGAGTTTAATTCTCACGTATTCGACATACCTAAGTACGTGCCTCTGAGCTATGAATCACTTAAAAGTTTACCTAAAATTTTTTTTAATTTTTTTTTTTGAAAAGATGCAGAAAAATCAATCAACAAATAAAATTTTCTTACGTTTTTCAGTGGGTTTGCCATGTGGAAAATCACCAAAAAAAGTCTTAGTTTACTTACAGTTTCTCGGTCTGACCATCAAAATTAAGTTTTATAACCTTTTTTTTTTGTTACCATACATGACTATCA